AGAGGCCGACAGTGATCACTGACTGTTTTTATGGGCTTGTTGAGATGAAATATTGATATTGATATACCTTTATTAGTCCCACAAGGGGAAATAGAACAAGTTACAGAGCATTAAAACATGTTTAAAGCACAATAGCCCAATGAAACGCAAGGTAGTTTGGGCCCTGAAGCAGGATTCAGCATGTCATCACTTAAACACGGATTGTTTTGATGTGAGCTTCTACTCACGGTTCTTTCTTCCAGTTCAGAGCAGAAATGTTTCTGTTAAGAAACTGGCTGTTGTCCCCCCCCCTACAATTTTAATTATAAGCTAGATATATTTCTATTAATGAAATTAGTTTGCTAACAGCAACAGGAATGAGTCAGTTAGGCTTGTGAATCATGATTCACGAGTCAGTAAAGTGATGCTCGAGTAATGAACGATTCGTTCATGATTCGCACATTATGTGCACACACACGGCGGTAAAACGAGCATGTGCACCGCCGGGTCGGTCATTACATGGAGCAGCACGTGCAAAGTCACAACATAAAGTTTTACATTTGAGTGCAGAAACCAAAACTCCCAGTTTGCTCCGTGAATGTTGGCCTACAGGAAATAATGCGGCTGCAATAACTTTCATTTGACGTTCCTAAAAAATGACTCCTTTAAATACCGAAGAGCAAAAATGAAAATTTTAAAAGCTGAAGAAGAGAAAACCGAGCAGAGATCAATGCAGCGACGGCCGCGGCTCTTCCTCCTCCGAGAGCAGGAGATGAAACGTGATGCCTAAATGCCTCCTGAAGGGTTTTATTAGCTGTGAGTGTTTTAATGACCAGTTTGATGTAGCTTTAAATGATCCAGTTGATTAGCAGCTCTTACCTCCTCATGGACAATAAGCCTCATCGACAGACAAACAATGTGTCACGCAGTCAGTTAAACTGACACAATGCAAGAGCAGCTGCACATATAAACTGACATTCACTTGGCTTCTTCCCAACAATCAGCTGAATTCAATGCAATACATTTTAAATATTGGCTCAGGATGCAAGTAGAAACAGCACGGGGCTCAAAACAACCTTCCTACAACACAGGAGACGACAGACAATGCTCCCTTATTAAAAAACTGGATTAAATCTGAGCTAATTATACTTTTTCCTGTGAAAACGTCCTGAAGTACATTTATTTCAGTACTAACATTCTCACTGCTGGTGGGAGGATTTTAAACACACATATGACTTTCTTGGTCTCCCATTGGACCCTGGGTTGGTTTCTTTGGGGAATCGTAGGTTATTCTTCAGTGAACTTTGCAATGAAAGCATGCAAAGTGAAGGTTGTAACCTCTTTGTGAATCATTTGGTCTTATCAGCACAAATGTCTAACTTGCATATTGTATTTGAGGAAAAAAAGGCTGGAGCACCTTAACCCGCTCCTCCTCGTCCTCGTCCATGCTAACGCTCCTGCTGAGTCTTTTGCAGTGAGAGGTTACTTCTGATCACTCTGCCTGTTGTCCAGAGCCATTCTCCTGTGCTTGAAATGATTAATTAGAGCTCTCCAACTGCCACATTATGTAATCGTGCAGTAGCTGCGAATGATGCACCAACAATTCGGCTATTTTCAAATGACTCATTTGTGTGGCTGCCAGATAAACAGTGATCTTTCCTCTCTGAGAAGCTTT